CGTGTTCCTTCACGGTACCGGGCGTCGTGTCACGAACGTGGCTTAGCGAGGAAAGGGTTTTCACGTGACACATGGTTATGAGTCACAGGTATGTTATTGTTTTGCGCATATAACTCATTCAGGTTATATGATTTGTTATGTGTGGGATTTGTGATGCTTTCGCACATGCCTCAAATATGAGTCATGAGACATGCGCCTGACGAGTATGCCTTGCGAGTGTGCCTTGCGGGTAAGCCTTGCGCATATGATTTATGTTTCGCACATGACCTCATTAGGAGGTCATGGGTTTCGTGCATATGACTCAGTCGAGTCATATGACTTATTTATTGAGTTATGATTGGTTTATGAGTTTCGCACATGACCTCGCTATAAGGTCATGGGTTTTGAGCATGTGATCACTTTGGTCACATGACTAGTTTGTTTTGATTTGGTTTTGCACATGTGACCACTTTAGGTAACATGATTAAAGGCGGGAAGAACACTATATAAGGAGGCCGAAGCGGCCGAAGAAGATAGGTTCTTCACACTTTGTTCTAAGTACTTTTCCTACTTATTACTTTAACGAATATAAAACACCTTCACGATCGTTATCTTTATTACAACGTTATCGTTACGCCAAGGAAGGCGCCTTACGAAGAAGAGTTAGAGAAAGCTTACGATAGACGTTCCCGGTAGAAGACAAGGGTCTTGTACTATCGGTAACGTAGGCAGAGGCCTAAAGCTATCGTAAGACAAAGACAGAAGAGGACAGGAAGAGAAGTATCATTCCCCGTCGCCAAGTACTAACTATCCGAGAAGGGATCGTTACACATCGTAAGGGTATCACCTCTACCGACTACCTCACACAGGTGCTACAGCCAATTGTGGTACCTGTATTCCACAATCAATTGGGATTCAATTCTACAGGTGGTGAATATATAGAAGATTCAGCACCATGGCATGGAACAAAAGTGGTTCTTGTTCAGCCAAAGAAAGAGTTGGGTATACCACTTCACCAACGACCAACTTCATCGCCAGACTTTAATCCCATAGAGAATGTATGGCGAATTCTCAAGCAGCGCATTAAAGCAAGAGCCCACTTCCCCAGAACCCATGCAGAGATGTGTCAGGCTGTACAGCAGGAATGGGATAGGCTAGAATCCTCAGAATGGAATGGGCTTATTGATAGTATGTCAGACAGACTGAAGGAATGTCGTGGCCATAATGGTTTACAGACTCGTTATTGATTGCTTGTTCCTTTCCCCTTGCTCTTGTAACAAGTACCCAGTTTCTTTTGTTGTTCTTGTTGAGAATTCATATATTTTGTGTACGGTACCTCCGTTCTACTCATGACTTTTTGCGCCAAGCTCGTACTTCTAGATTTGTTTACAATTGCTTCCTTTAGAGCCCTCACAGATATACCATAAGCGATGTTTTTCCACCAAGCTCTAAGTTACACAATAGCCGTGTAACTCCTCTTTTCCCATCACGATGACTAAAAAAATGCATTTTCGTATTTTTCACTATTTTTGATTTAGAAGATGAATTTCATATTGTATATGGCTCATGAATATTTTTTGAGCTTAGGAATATATACTCTACATGTCTATGAAGCTTGCTATGCAAAAAAAAATTCTTTGGTGCTGAGTGCCCATGTGTAGGTTTTAACAAAAATGCGTTCATATATGAGATTTGTTTGTCTGGACTTTTAGAGGATGGAAATACAGGCCTCATACAGTGCTACCGTATGATACACCATAACGCTGAATTGTCAAGTTTGAGTTCAGGTTGTGTTATTTAGGGTGTGGGAGGGGCAAAGTCCTCAGGGTTGGGGACAGGTTCGCGCGCGACATTTAGGGCTATGCCGAGACCCATATAAACCGCATCCAAAACTATGAGCCCCCCCGCTTAATTATAACAAATCACCAGAATCCCTGCGAATATCGCGGCTGTGGCCCCATGAACCTCCTTGTATTCCTCCCCCTTCTCTGCTCATCCATCATCAAAGCCATCCCATCCCCCGCAACGGCCACCACCGGCAAAGACATAACCACAGACACCTACGCAGTAATCCAAAAGCTAAATGCAAACCTACGCACCTACACTACCACGACGTGGAGCTCCGCGCTCTCTTCCACTATCAAAGACCTCGGAGACATCCCGAACTCCAAGGCATACAGTGAGGCCTTCCCTGGTATCGGATCTGGTCCCCGGAGCGGCGGTAATGCGGACACCTGCGTCGCTAGGCCATCACTAGATATCCAGGGCACATAGGTATATGTTCTCTCCACAGGGATATTGACAACATATTATGTGGAGTCCGGTGGGCGGGTATGTTGGGGTTACGACGCTACGAGCCCTACGAATGTTGGTGGGCGCGCACACGCGACGGCGGTGGCGTCTTTTGCTGGAGGAACGACGTAGTCTAAGTATGGCGATGCGAGGGCAACGAAACTACAAATGTAGTTGCAGTGGAAGCTCTCGACAGCAGTGGGAGTGAGGCCATATCTAGGATCATTGCGGGTACAAACTGGGTTGCCAGCGACGTTACAGCGAGTGCCTACTGCGGGCTTTGGCGGGAGGTATTCCACCGCGATAAATCCGGCATTCACTGCTGGTTAGGATGCTAGGGTGCCCGTGTTCACTAGCGACATTAGCGCGGCTGAGTTACCCACTCCCCTCTCTCGTTAGAAAATCACATGTGTAAGGAGAAATTGAGTTGATGGTAACCTCAATACGGCTGGAGAGCCTAACGGGCGCCGGATACTCCCCCGTCGCGGCCTTCTATATGCCGAAGGCAGCATCAGAAACAGCGTGGATTGGGAGTAATACTGCAACAAGGACAGGTTTGCCTGAAAGTCGTTTCGCTGCCGGATATGCTGCAGGGCTCGGTGCTCATTTACAGAGGCTGTTTGACTTGCCAACAAATGCTGCGTTAAGTGCAAAGATCTAGGTTTTGGCAACGATAGCGAGTGGTGCGTTGGCTATTATATGGGATGTTGGGAAGTGGAAGGGAGTCTGCGGGGAACCGAGCCACCGTTTGTGATTAAGAATTGCCAGTAAGGGGATCCTGGTTTGTATAAAGGATTCCTGGTTTAGGGATAGTCATGCTTAAAATCTGGCAGATCATCGCATGCTAGTTGCTATACTTGTACTCATGTGTGCCACTCTGGCGTGTCAAGATGCGTACGGTGTCGTATCGTGTCGGTACTTGATTAATGTACAGCACTGTGCTGTACCATGTCCCCGTTGCTGCCTTGTTGTGAAAGTCCGTAGTAACAGCAATGTAGCAGAACTCCAGGCACATTCTATAATTCCCATGGCGCAACCATCGCAATCCAGGGCGCGTCTGATCGGGCAAATTTGGTGCTCGAGTATAATGGTTTTTTTTTTTTTTCCAAGCGGGGGCATAAATGGCGCAGAGACCTTGTTTCACCAATGGTCATGTTACTCGAGTACCGGTAGCTGCCAACTTTTTCTTTTCCTAAATCACCCGCGCTCCACGATTGAAGGAGGGAATGCTTGCGGGGTAGTTATCGGATGGTGAAAGGGTTCCGGCGGGATTAGGTGGTTCATGGATGAGTTATTTCTCGAAGTTGAATTGCTATGATCCCTGCGGGCTGAGGATGCGGTTCAGTAAAGCCACTAGTGCTGGGGTTGTAGGAATCTCTGCAAAAGCCGAGATAATGGGAAGACCTCGCTGATATTGGGAAAAAGAACTTGTTTCCCCGTGTTTCCCTCCCCTCTCTGCCACCTCAAATAGAGTACGGTACGTGTTTAAAAAGGGGTAGAAAAAGATGGGTCACAACATTGCCCGAGACGCCGCTGGGTAAAAAAAAAAAAGATGCTCAGGCTGGTGCAGGTACTCCACTCCATCACCTACCGGTACCGTCCCGTACCTCCCCTTTCACCACACAGCACATGATCGTACGAGTAGATTAGATTCTGGCCAACGAGAAAATCTCCCGCAGGCCCTTTTCTCGTCTCCAGGAATCTTCCATCCATTCCAGAATAAATTCCCCGTTAATCCCTTCCTAGGATCGTTGTCTCGGCTGTGGGGCGGGCGCACGGACCCCTGGTCACAAAGCAGGGCCGTGAGACTGTGGGGTGAGCTGAGATTCAGGTGGTGAGAGGATGGGGTAGAGAGGGGGGATGTGGAGGAAAGAGAACAAATGGGGATGAGAGAATTGATGAAATGTGTATATTGGGTTAGGGCAGATAATACATTGAGATAAAGGGGGAGGAGGGGGAGGAGGGGGAGGAGAGTGGACAGCTTGAGCTGACAAGAGGAAAGGGAGAGAAAGGTATCGTGCTGATGGTATGTACCGGCTGCCGTTACAGTGTTCTGCGAGTACGGTGGGAACCCGTTTAGTGCAGTTTCTATCACTGGGAACATATTATCGTGTAGCTCCACCCCGAGAGTACGGTAGCAACCTCCCTACCACAAGGAAACATGGGCAATGGTCGATATCATACCTCGGTACGATGGGCCGGTGAGCTCTAGAATACCGTATACTCGAGTATGATACAATACCCCCCGGGACTTGACTGGTGGTTAGGGAAGCAATTTAATACGATGGGGAAAATGCACGGTTATGGTACCTGTACAGTATGATATACAGTAATAAGGTATGATTGGGCCCGCACAATCCGAGCCTCTCCATCATCCAGCCCAGCCTTACTGTAAACCACACTAGCAACCCATCACTTCCCTTAGAGTTACTCCTCGGAGCTTGGGATATGATACTTGACAGATTTTTAAAAAAACCACGGCAAGCTACTTCACTCATTTATTTACACTCAGATATAATAATTATAATAACAATTCAGACAATCATCCAGACATTTTCGCATTGGCGCTTCCTTCTTGACGTTACATTGCTTCATTCCGCTAGCTTCCCCCAGATCTCTCGCCAAATCCGTCCGTTGTCGCCTCTCCCTTCCGCTTTTCTCCTCGTCCCTCTCCCTTTCTCCCTATTTTCAAATCTCATCCACCCGCATCCATCCCCCTTCCCCCGACCGAATCTGCAGATACTGCCCTCTCTGCCTCCGCCCTCCGTTTCCCGCATACCAAATACTCTTCCCGGCACGAAAGCTTAATTTCGCCCATCCCATCCCATCATATCTCGCCCTCCCATTGCTTGCCCACTGACCCACCATATCCTATTCTATCGCCTCGCGCACCCGTGCTCCCCCGCCACGCTGAGGCAGGCGGTCTCTCCCCTAGAACTATCGGCATTTTTTCCTCCCCCAGTCGGTTCATCCGTCCCTCCATTATGCCAGACACCTCTCTCCCTCAGTCCCCCCAACTAGATCACCAGCAGCCCCAGAAGACAGCCGCATCACTCCCATCATCACTTAAAGAGTCGCTCGCCGCATCCACATCGCCTACATCACTCCCATCGTCACCCACCACTGTAAAATCCGCATCTGGGGGCGCCGGAGGTGACGCGCCAGACCAGAAGCCATCGCAACTTAAAAACAAGGGCAAGGCTGTGCAGGACCAAACAGATTCGGACTCGTCCGAAGTGAAGTCCCTCAAGAGACGACCATCGACTTCAGCCCTGTTGCTCGACCAATACATCACACGCGATCATCTACACGCGGCTGCGATATTCACACAGACTGAGGCTTCCAACAACCTTATCCGCTCCAAGCGACGCGAAGTAGATTATTATCAGCAGCTTAGACGCGAACGCCAGGTTAATCCAGGCGCGGTATTTGGGTACGGTTACCAAGGCTATGGAAATGGATTCACTGATGGAAAGTCGCGAATTTTGTATCCGTGTCAGCGAAAGAGGCCGGGTGGGAGGAAAGCGCGAGAACTGCGATTATCTCGGTCGCAGCTTCAGACGCAGGCGGATATGGTGGAATCGTTGGTTCCTGTGCGACTCGATATCGATTATGATAAGATCAAGCTTCGGGATACATTTACATGGAATATGCATGACCGATCAATACCGCTTGAGCTCTTTGCCGAACAGTTGGTTGAGGATTTTCACCTCCCTCTAGCCCCTGCGCTTGTACAGATGGTGGCCAATTCAATTCGGGAGCAGGTTACCGATTACCATCCCCACGTTTTCTTTGCCGATGATCCGCTAGATCCGACCCTACCCTACACAGCTTATAAGAATGACGATATGCGAGTTCTTATTAAGCTCAATATTACCATAGGGCAGCATACGTTGGTAGATCAGTTTGAGTGGGATATCAATAATTCGCTAAACTCGCCGGAGGAATTTGCCCAACTTTTAACGCGCGAGCTTTCCCTATCCGGGGAGTTTACTACAGCGATTGCCCACTCGATACGAGAGCAGGCTCAACTGTTCACAAAGTCTCTTTTCCTTACTGGGCATCCCTTCGATGGTCGGCCAGTTGAAGATGAGGATATTCGATCCGCCATGCTTCCATCACCTCTATCCAACCTTTTCCGACCAGCAGGACATGCAAAGGAGTATACACCTCTACTGTACGAGCTTTCGGATACCGAGATGGACCGCGCCGAGAAATCGCTTTCCCGTGAGGCGCGTCGTAAAAGACGGGTCAACCGGAGAGGAGGCCCAAGCTTGCCCGATCTCAAAGAGGTGCCCAAGACACATCGATCGCAGATTGTGTCTAGTGTGCTCCCGGGCGCGGTCCAGGAGGTCTCGCAACTTAAAAAGACGATGACTTCTAAGACGGTCAGAGACGGAGAATCTGAAGATGATTCATCGGAATCCGATATGGAGGATGTGCCAATTGAGAAGGCTATTCCGGGTTATGCCAACATGACCAAGAGGCAGCGGATAGCAGCCCAGAATCAGCTTCGTGCTTCTACCGGTCGTTCACAGACTCCAGAGGTTGCGAGCACGCAACGGGAGCATGGACACCACCACCGGGGCGAGCACCACCATACTCCTAGCCATCTTGCACGAGCCTCCACACCTCTATTCTCACGAAGGCCGGGTGTTCCTATGCACACTGACAGTATGCTTATTAGACTTAGGATCAGGAGGGAGAAGCTTCGGGATGCGCTCGCTGGGGCGCATGAGAGGGAAGCTGCAAAGAAGCAACAAGGAGAAGCCCAGGCCCGAGCTCAGGCACAGCAACAGCAACAAGATCAGCAAAAACAGCAGCAGCGGTATACGCCACAACCGCCGGCCCAACAGCGGCCACCGCAGGAGCAAGCCCAGTCGTCCCAATCATCACCAATGCCTCCACCGCAGACCCCTACACCAGCGACAAAGGCGGCTTCGACCCCGGCCGTTTCCTCGACGCCCGCACAGCCAACTCCTACTCCAGCTCAGAGGCCGGAAGCTGGAAATACTCCGGTACGCTCTTTAATTGTTATGCTCAAGATTCCTTCAACGCGGAGGAAACCTCCATCTCTGGAACAAAACGCAAGTAGACGCAAACAGAAAAAACGAGGAGGGGACATCCCTGCATTGAAATAAATAACATGTTTACTTGTTAAAGTGAGCGTGATCTAAACGAAAAAAAAGAAAATCTGTTTACGTTTACTACGTTTCTGTCACCCCCATTGCTATCGCTTTATTTATTCCTTTTCCCTCTAGCCACCTTGCAATAAATAAGTGGTCCCGCTGACATGTAGTTTTTCGTTTTCCACGAAACAGCCCCCGCCAGAATGGCTCAGTGCTGCCATCGCCGAACTGCACGTCTTGCACCCAGCTGACCGCTTCGAAATCATGATGCGATATACGGCTTACGACCCCTTGACCGACAACCCCTTGCCCCCGCACTCGACGAATCCGAATGCCAAGTACAAGTACAGTCCGCGCATTCGCTGCCATGATTGCCCTGGAAAGTTGTATACCCCTGGACCAAGTCAGTCCATCGAGAACTTCTTGACGCATCTGAAAAATAGAGGCCATAGGTCTGTTTTCCCCTTTCTTGCCCGGAGTGGTGGGATGCATACTGACAATTGGCTGGTCGGTTGAAACAGAGAGCGTGTGGATCAGAGGGTCAAGCTGCAGAGCAAATCGGCAGAGCGGTCATAATTGGGGGGAGGTTTCTTCCCCCCATCCCCACCTGCTATTGTCAATTCCTTCTTTATTATCTTTGTCCCTTTCTTTCCAAATTCAATTTCTGCTCCCTGACCGATTACTTTTTTTTCGTTAAGAATTTTTTCTATTTTATTTTATCCCAAACCGCCCTACGGACAGAAGCACAGGCAAACGCGGGTCGCACCAGAAAACTAATAGATTAAAAGTTACTTTTTATCAAGTTTTGTACGAATACTCTTATTTATTGGTAGATGCGAAACTGCCGCCATGAGTTTGATTAGTTTACACAGCAACGAATGGGAGGGAACGAGCGGATATGGGTTTGGGGGGAGTAGATATATTCGGATTGTTCATCCGCTGTCACTCGTTCCTTCGGGCGCTGGTTTTTGCTTGGTATGATATCACGAAAACCTCGGCTATCCCTTGGGCACTTTGGAGATCCACTAGACTCCCCGAACTCCCCACAAGTCGTGTCTAGTCTTTTCCTTCCATCGTAGATTTTCCTTGTCGTATTCACCCGTTTCTCGACGGCCCGTGGACTGAACAGTCTTCCGCTTCGCATGCGTCTTTTTCGTTCCCGCCTTCCCCGATGCGCGTGTGTACGAACAGTGAGCTACGGTCCTCACTCGGAACACTAGTGCCCTTGCTCCCCACATCTTATGACACTTTTCTATCGTAAGATTTTCGGTTTTTGGTTTTGGGGGAGTAGAATAGTTTACGAATGGGAGTATGATACACCAACGATATCCTAGTACCGGTGTGACAGATTACAACATCTCCACTGCGAATCATAGTACGAGTACAGTACCACAACAGAGCGGTAACAAAGTCAAGAATGCCCTGTCAGCCCTCCCCTCCGGGGAGAGGGGGGGAAAAGCCTTGGATGGAGAAATGTGAACCCGTGCTCACAAGCGACTAGCCAAGAGATTTTAGAACTATGATATGATAAAAGTGACAACGAGTGATGGAGTGGGGAGGCGTCTGGGGATTGTGGTGGTAGGGCGGGTAACCAATCACGAGGATGTATTTAATCATTCAATTTTATGTACAGTACTGAGCAGTCGCGCCAAGGGGTGATATCTCGTCTGCCAAGAAGTACAATCTGATAGCGATGATGGTAGATGCATAGGGGGGGGGTATTTCTGAGCATGCATGTGATGTATGATGAGATGTGCGGTTGGGTGAATTTGTGAGCACATTGTCAATGAGGGTCGAGAAAAAAAGCTCGGCACCCGCTGGCAATTTCTGATTATCCATATCATCCCTCAGACTTTCAACATTCACAACGCGCTCGAGAGTAGATCGAGGGGATACTAGTTTACTGTACGGTACTGTCCCTGGTTAGAAGTGTTCGTGAGGATCTGAGGCGTACTTGGTATGATAGGCATGTTGAAACGAATACATCAAGTGCCGTAAAAACTAAAAACTATCGAACCATGTGCTATTATATGGATCATAGTTGAGAATACCCTACACCGGAAAGGAGGCTAAAAACGGCGCAGGGAAAAAAAAAACAGAACTTACTCGAGCATCGTATAATAATTACGGTACGATATTATATCATAACTTTTTTTCGCGTCGGAGATGTTAATAGGCATGTTAGATAATTCGTGGTGCGCTCCCCCAGGTAAGCGCGATGAAACGGGTTAGTGGAATCCCGATTGGACTAGGTTCCATCTCACCAACACAGCCTTAAGATTCTGACATCGGCAACATTGTATCGTACTGCGGGGGCAAAAATACGTTCACATTTTTAGTAAGCCCAAACACCTCAAAAATGTGAACGTATTTTTGCCCCCCACTGTACAGTACAGTACGAGTACGAGTATCGTACATACACTCTTGTGGATACGGTAGCTAGCCACCCGCCATTCTATAGTAATTTAATTCGTCACAGAATTGTCCACAGAGGATACGGGGGCGCCTGGGCTTTTTTTTTTTTTTTTACTGCTCGGCTCGGGCCGGGATCTTAGCGGTGCACGGCGGATCACTCGGTTTGTGGTTAAAATTCTCGTAGCTGTTGAATTTACTTGACTTCCTTTAGCATTCGACTATGGGCATTGTATTGTAGGGTGTGGTCTTAATAATTCCTCGTCGCCGCGACGTTCTTTGCTGGATCTGGCATGTTCTATCGTACTCCGCGGGTGTGAGCAGCTTCCCATCTACGCTTGTGTTGGGCGGAAGGTTATATAGCGTGAGAGTGGGTGGGGTTGGAGGGGCGTTGTTTGGGAGGTTGTGTGGTGAGGTGGTGGTGTTTTGGGGATTGATATTTTTCCTTGTTTGCTTGAAGGTTGTGGTTTGTTTGGAGGTGGGGCGTATTAGTCTAGCTATGACTGAGCTGGTGTTAGGGGTAGGAGCTCAATTCAGGATATAGGCGTTGGGTGGGAATCTGGGTACTATCACTCCGAGATGTCTTGCATGGCCTATGGTTGCTTGTGCATTGCATTAGGCTTCATATCTTTATCCAGGCTCAGCCCCGGGTGTCCGGCCGTGTACTAGTACTCACTGTCTGGTCTGGTGTGGCGTTTCTAACGCATTTTGCGAGATGTTTCCACGTGCGTGCTATCACAAATGTGTGCTATTCCGTCGAGTGCACAGCGACCAAAATACTGGAAACATTAAAAGCATTAAAACAAACGTGCGCAACCAGCGTATCCCAAGAAAAGACCCTCAAAATCAGGCTGATAAATTTCACCCCGAAAATCTCTGCGCGTTAAACCTTCTCGCGCCCTCCCGCTGTCTCTCCAACTTCATCTGCCTCTTCGACATTTTCCCCTCGGGAAGAGCCTCACCAGCCCCTCCAGCGCTGTTCGAAGAGCTGGCGGTTCCCTGCAAATTGGCAACGTGGCAAAGTTCAGGATCGTCCTCCCGCTGTCTCCCCAAGTTTATCCGCCGCTTCGACTCTCTCTCAGGAGGAGCCCCGCTAGCTCCACCGGTGCTGTTCGAGGAACCGGAGGCTCTGTGCGGGTTGGGAATGCGGCGGGGTTCGGGATCGTCCTCCATGTCCTCCATATCCCCCAACCCCATCGCGATTATCAGATCCATCTCTGGATCACCGGTTGGCGTAAAGCCGTGCTCCATCACCGCCTCATGAGCAGCATACTCTTTCAGGAGACTTCGCCCTCCAGCTTCGTACCTTTCCCTATTTCCCCTGACCCAGTCGCTTTCGGGTTCTATAAGCATGAATCAGCTACCGAGTCCTCTCATATGACTCGCCCTACCCTGTTGCCATCATGGCCTACTCACCTCTCTCCGGGAGTCCTGTTCCCCTTGGCCTAATGACTTGTGGTCTCTATGAGCACAAATTAGTTACCGAGATCTCTGAAGCGACCCACCCCACTCAGTTGCCGTCATACTCGCTCGGGATCTTGATGAGAACGAGTCGCGTCGTAACTTTGCATCGCCTCCAAGATACTATCTCCTACTTCGAGGTCTTCAGGCGTCATCTTCAATCCATAGGAAGCCTGAAAGTTGGTGCGGGTGCCCCAACAATCTTTTATGATTTTGTATTTGCTGTTGGGCATGGAGAACGATTAGGAATTCCGGCGACTACTCCACACGCTGTTAGTGAGATCTAGATGGGTTGGTGCACATCACATTTTAGAGGCGGGGCGAACCTCAAGAAGGGGATCTTTTTAACGATGTGCCTAACGAATCGGTTGCCTAGCTGAGAGGTGTAAGTTAGTTGCGAGGGAAGGATGAGAGAAGCTCTTATCGTGAGGAGGGGCTGGCAGCCTACTCGAGTAAACGGACTGGTAAGCGAGGTGGGGGTGCGGGGGCGGCCCGCAACCGAGCCAGATGATTCGAGCGTCTGTGTCTGAATGGTGGGCACACAGGGTCACGTGCGGTGACGTCTAGACATCCAGTCGAGTGATAACATATGAAGGTCTAGCCAAAGTGACCCCCTCAAGACAATGATACCGTATGACTATTTCCGACTTGGGGGAAGGCGGTGGGCTGGGGCCATGGCTGCCATACCGCAAGTGCGCCCCCGCATTACTCTATGTTTGCGCAAAGCCAGCCATGTTTTCCCATGCTCTGGTCCAGAAAGAGGCTATGATGCTGGTCCCCCCTAATGGCACACCTACGGTATCCCGCCTCTGACCGCGCGTTCTACGGAGCCAGCCTTTTCGGTTGTCTGCCTATACCTCCCGTGACCTGACAGTTGGTTCATAGGGGAATGCGATCCAAACTCTGTGGGGCCTACCCGTTGGAGGCCTAACATCCACGGACGGAGGGGTATCATGTTTATGCTCCATTTTCAAATGCGCTGCACCTGAGGCAAAGTAACTAACATCTCCATTCATCACACGTGAGAAGATAGATCGGGTCGTGGTTATATCAAGACATTTATTTGGAAATGCAATGGAGTTAAAATATTGAATATGGTTGGGTTTGTATAGTATGATCTTGTCAACGGGAAAATGGTTATCGGGTTAGAATTTCGCTTCTCCCCGCTAAGAAGGCATACAGGTATGATAATATTATTATACATGCACGTCTTCAAGTGCACCAAGGGTATCATCGCGCACGGTAATAAGCGTTGACTCAGACTTTGTGTAAGTTTTACTTCCGTGTTTCAGTTTTATTATGTGTCATACCGATGATGCGCGACGTAGCTTGAAATTAATCACAAGTGCTCACTCGTGGAAACTTGAAAGGAACGTAGGTTCTCTCGCTGTTTATAAACTCACATCTCGACAGCGGTGGAATAGACCATCACAACAGCTACAGCAAAAGGAAGAGGCTAAAAAAAGAGACTCCCCGAAAAGGCAGGATTTCGCAGTACTGGAAAAAGGGGAAAAAAGGGGAAAAAGGAAAAAATCGAGTTCACAACACAAGCAGAAAAGCGAGCATAAAAAAAAAAAATGTGCAAGCGAATCAAAACGACTTACTCCTGCAAGCACTCGACTAGCACAACCGAGTACTGCGCTGAGAATCCTTCTCCTTCCACATTCCTCCGCCCCCGGCGCGCCTCCGGTTCTTCCGGATTCTCGGTGTCATCGTGGGGAAGCTCACTTCTCGCCACACCTACCAGCACAGTCTCACCAACCCACAATATAAGCCACCAGCACCAGGCCGTGACCCTAATCTGCCGTGACTGCGAGCGCGAATTTCTCAGAGTTCACCTCACGGCGCTCAGGAAGGAGGTGGAAAGTCTCGGCGTCCGACGGGACGTCAAGGATGACGTTACAGTTTTGGGAAGGGACAGAATCGCTGGTACTCCACCGCCTCCGGAGGGGGGTAGTACGCTTACCAGGCGCGGAATAGAGGAGGGGAAGCGGCTTTCCTTTGCGTCTCAGTCGACCGGTTCTGGAATACGGTCGAGGCCAGGAAGCGGTGGGATTCTGTGGGATTTCTCTCCTTTGTTTGATAAGGAGATGAGGTTTAGAAAGCAGTGAGTTGTCTCTCTAGGAAGGAACACGTTGGGATCGGGTGAGTTGTAGCTTAGTGGTTGCAATGCAGTTAACAGGTGTCTGGGTAATTTGGGAAAGATGGGAAGATTGGAGTGCTTGGCCGAGCAGAAGGTGGATGGGTAGGTTTTCGCAGAACCAAGGTTTGAGAGGCAGACAGGCTTTTGAATGCTCCGGAGGTGGGTGCTTTTTCCTACTGCGCAGGGGCTGGATGAGGGGGTTAATGAGCGATTGGCCGTCTTTTCTTTCTTTTCTTCTTGATTCGGTGGACGGGTGAACTTTCTTAAGCAGTATTGAACTAATAGCCAGTAGGTTGGATAAGCTGATGTCATGAGATACTGTTTTAGCGATATACTCAAGCGGATTTAGACTATAGTTATTTTGCATTTACTGGTAAGCTTGATTTTAACGCGTTTTCAAGAAATCCTCTTCAGCAATATCAAATAATTAAGCCGACAGGTAAAATCAAGCCGCAAAGTCAGACCCATTTAATTTGACTGGTCATACAAAAGCCATAGAATAATTTTAGGGGGAGATAACTTGTGAGAATTTTGGGCTTGGACAAGCCTCCTTATGGTTTGTTAGTAGAGATATGTTTGTAAGATAACGGGTAGTTAAAGCTATCAGCGGGGTTAACAAGGGTCGGAAAACGTGGCCCCTATTTCCGTGGAACTCGATATGGAATAGCGGAAAAAGGTTTCCTGCACTCATCGACTCTCCTTTATTGCTTTGCTCCAAGATTTTTTATGATATCTTTTCCTCTCAACACTGCCGCTGCCAAGTTCGCGGTTAAGTTACACAAATCCTTGGTGGATTGGTCGAAGTATCGTACTCGTAGGTCATCATCCGTCTGGCTGAGATGAGTATTGTGAGGATGGAGATAGGGCTGAGAGTTGTTCTTCAAAGTTCCAGATGATGTATTCAGGGTTTACTCGTAGAGAACTCCCGATTTGCTAAACGAGTGCGACTGATTGTGAACGAACGAGTGAGAGTTAACCAAAGGACTATGCTACTTTTCTCACTAGGACACGAATTGATTGATTTCCTCCTTTTTTCCTTTCCTTTTGTTTCTCTTCTCTTCTGTTTGTGTACGGTGTAGAAAGTTTTTGCTGCTTGTATTTGATAGACTATCATACCGCGTTTCTTTTCGCTGCCATGCCCAAGGTTACAGGTCGAGCTTGGCACCGTGACCTGAATCCGCTTAGCTCATCCCAGCCTTAGCGTCATGCTTAGCCAACCCGCTTCGGAGCATCATCACCCAGCAACGGATCACAACCCTAACCACAACAACTGCCTCGAAACTCCACAACCTCCGCATACCAACAGCATCGTGGGTATTGTCCATCCATCTAGCAGAATCGTCCATATTATCACGACCAGGAACCCCATCGCCCACCAGCGTCGTTGGACGGAAAACCTGACCCCTCCTTAGCGAGCATAAAAAACGATATCAAACAGACCCCCGCGCCCTCACAAGCCCCCCACCCATACACACAAAATGGAGGAAAGAAAAGGCCGCAAAAAAAAAGTCCTCCTAATGGGCAAATCTGGCTCCGGAAAGTCCTCCATGCGCAGCATAGTATTCAGCAACTACGTCGCCAAGGACACCCGCCGCCTGGGGGCTACAATCGACGTTGAGCACTCGCACGTCCGATTCCTCGGCAACCTGACGCTAAACCTCTGGGACTGCGGTGGCCAAGATGCCTTCATGGAAAACTACCTCGCCACTCAGCGTGACCATATATTCCGCAATGTCGAGGTCCTGATATACGTATTCGACATTGAGTCTCGCGAGTTCGAACGAGACCTGATTACGTATTCCTCATGTATTGAGGCGTTGCGGGACAATTCGAGTAATGCTAGGATATTCTGCTTGGTACACAAGATGGACCTCGTACAGACGGAGTTGCGAGAGAGGTTGTTCAATGAGCGCCGGGATGTGCTTGTGTCTAGGAGTTTAGGATTAGCGATTACCTGTTTCCAAACGAGTATCTGGGACGAAACACTCTACAAAGCTTGGGCTGGCATAGTCTACACCCTCATCCCTAACCTCCCGCAATTAGAAACGCACCTCCACCGCTTTGCCTCTATCGCTGATGCGGAGGAGGTTATCCTCTTCGAGCGTACCACATTCCTCGTGATCTCACATGTCACCCGCTCGCCGATCCCCAACCCATTTCCCGACCGCTTCGAAAAGATATCGAATATAGTCAAGCAGTTTAAGCAGAGTTGTTCTAAGATGGCGAGCAATTTTACTGCGTTCGAACTCAGGGCGGCTGGATTCTCGGCGTTTATCGATGTGCTTACGCCGAATACATATATTCTTGTGGTTATGCCGGCGGGTGCCGCGGAGAGCGCAACAACTCTGATGAATATTGCGGTTGCGAGGAAGCATTTCGAGAAGTTGGAAAGGGATAGTAGCGTTAGGGGAGTTGAGAAGCTAGGGAGAGATAGTAGCGTTAGGGGGGCTGAGAAGGATAGTGGTGTTAGGGGGTCCGAGAAAGGGGGTGGAGGTGTGGGGGAGAAGGATGGTATTAATGGAAATTGAGGACATTTTATTGAAAGGGGCTATGGGTTGTTTATTTTCCGATTTCGTTGGATTTGGTTTGTATTTCTTTGTTGGCTTTGCTTTGAACGTACGTACGGGCGGGTGGAAAGGACGGGGGAGTCACTTTTTTTTTTTTTTTTTTTTTTGTACAGAAGATTTGCCTTCTTTCTTTCTTCCTTCTCTTTTCTCCTTATTCGTTTCCCTCTTCCCTTTAACCTTGTATCGTGATTAATTGGATTTTATGATTGCTACTTTGAATTTGAATGAGGCGAAATTGTAAGATAGTGAATGGGCGACAGATATATAACTGGAATCAAAGTATATGATGATGATTCATTCTCACCATAGTTACCATATCACAATAATTGTATGAAATCGCCACTCGCGATTGTGAAGTATCGTTATTCCCCCCGACCGGGAGAGCCCAATGGATGGAGATAGATGCAACTTTACATGAGGAATAGAAACCCAAGAGCGCAGTACCACACATGTTTCCCCCTCCTCTGATGATAGCGTATAATATCATAAAAGTCACCACCACAAACCCAATCAAAATACTGGCTAGGACGAGAAGGGCTAAAGTAAGCAACACAAGAAAGTGCAGGGGCACGTGCTCCCTCATATTTTGTTCCAAAACCCTTGTGGTAGGGATGGGGCCCTGGCTTTGGCTATTGGGTTAACATCACGCTGTGCTAGCTAATCAATGGGCGGGGCGCGGGGAGGGGGGCAAGATTTTTACTAGTATGGTATATAAGCTCTTGCCCCCGCAGATAGCAGTTGAGGTATGACACTGTGGGGGGGAAAGTTATGTTTGCAGGTTGTCCGATGTAGACACCTATATTTGTGTTGTATGATAGCTGGGAATATTACGGCTTTATTTAGGCTTGCTGTTCCGGAGAAGCTTTCTTTCTTTCTTCTCGCGGACAACCTACGGTGACAACGAATGCGAACATGAGATTTTCCTACGAGAACGAACACGTCCCGAACAAGCTTAAATACGAATGGTTTTACGAATCTGCAGGAGGGAAATAGCCAAAGGGCTGTGCTATCCCATATTATCGAGGACCATTGTTTGCTTTTGCCTTCTTTTCAGTTTTTTATTTTTATTCGTAGGGCTTTTGACCGAACATCAACCGATATCATAGGTTTTCTTGCGGGTCCAAAGTTTTCCTTTTAGTACTAATCCACACGCCCAATACCCGCTCACTCACACGGCTATCTACACAAGACCAGATTGGCATTTATGTCCCACCGGTCATGGATATGACTGTTAATTCGACTCACAAGGGTTACTGTTAATATCATTACCTAGACGTAAATCGGGGCGGGGATCGGTCGGTTAAGTTGCCACAGATACACAAGAACCATGGTGGACTGGGGGCCCGGTACAAGAATGCAAAAATGCAAGAGACCGCTAGGTACTGGGGAAAGTTCACTTTTAGCTGGGTAGGGAGTGTTGGCAAGTATAGGACTCCCCATCAAAAGCATCTGAGGATTTCAGCATATCATGCGTGGGCTTTACCGGTAATCTTATGGATGATGCGTAATCACTAAGTATCACTCGGGGGGATTAGAAGCGGGAGGATGGTAAACGTAAGGCCCGACTTGAAAAACGGCCTGCAGGCTCATACCGGTTCTCTGGTGTGTTTTTATTCTATTTTGGGTATCATAGTTGGTGGTGTTTATTGAATCCCGGCGACTGCTTAGCGTCTTGTCCCTGATGAGGGGCAAATTGCCAATATTGAGATTTAGGCATTGGTAGAGTGCGGTAGAGCCCACCCGCCAATTCATGACAGCACCTCTGAATACCTAGGAGATCTGAGTAATGGCGGTTATTCCAAAATTTTGATTTCAGTGCTCTCTGCGATTTCATTTGGTTGCTGTAGCATCATGTACATCTCCGCCGGCGTACCCCACCATAAGAATTTACTGCTTATGATGGATCATCGCCCATGGAGTGTTTGCCACCATGTTCAAGGAGACTAACGGAAGTGTAAACATATATCTATCAGCACATAATTAGAGAGGCTTTCTTCGCGTTCTTCCTCTTACTCATTTACCCACAGATAAGTTTCGAGACCGCACATATTCCTCACGTCCAGGGTAGTGCTCTCCCATCAACACTGGCATGGAGGAGGAATCAGGTGATATCACACCTTGTAGTCTCGATGGGAGTAATGGCCCCCTCGGTACGCTTCGCAACCTCACTCCGGATATGCTATCTCTCCGAGAAGGATAAACCACGTTCCTGGTAGCTCTAGAGAACTTCACTGAGTGCAGGTTTTTACCAACTCCCGGATCGTAATAGCAATGCAAGGTGGGACTGTGGGGTTTATCTTCTCAGTGTGAGAGCTGGTCCCCTAAATTGCCGGCTGGGCGACTGGGACATCTTTATGTCCAATTTCTGTCACGACGGCCTGACGTTGCGCCCAGCCGAGATCTTTCCCGCGGTGTCCCATCCTCACCAACGCATGCAATATATATCCCGGCCGCCACGCGCAGATCACAACCTGCCGAGAGTGGTTCCAAACTATACAAGTAATACGACGGTCGATAACTTGGTATGGCAGTGTGGTTCAGCTTCACTTGATCATCCGGAGGCGACCGGTATCGTAGGATACTTTTCCTCATCAGGGGTACGGTATCTGATACTATACTTAATCGTGTCAACGAGAAAGCTCAAATTACAAGTTCATCTAATAATATTGGTACGCGCCCCCCTTTTTTTAAAACCCCCCTCCCCCCGAAACATTACCAGCAGATAGCAGCATCTTACAGCAACGCGACAGGAGTATTCGTGAGATATGTCTCATATTTGTCATTATATCATACCAAATAGAAATGATTGGATTATCCCCTAAACCGCTGAACCATTCAGCCCCGTTTAAAATATTGAACACTAGCCTATTTGAGTGATAGGGAGTAAATCTACAGTACTTGCTCCTCTTCTTTCCCATCCTGGGCATACTGAGGAATACAGATTTGCAGGAATTCTAAATACTGCGCTTTTACTACCACTATTACTCAAGTAGGCTACCGGTATGGTTGTGTTCAACATTTTAAATGGGCTTGAATGTTGCAGCGGTTCAGGGGATAAGACAAATGTCGTACAACAAGTTGTTGGGTAGTTCATAGCCCCGCCTTCTTCAGCCTCGCTTGGAGAAAGTCCATAAATCCCCCAGTGCCCCTGCAGATTGTTGGGCCACTTCTCCATTCAACCAACACTCCACACGGAACATCATGGCCCAGACCACACATATACCATCGGTCCAAGTGGGCGACGGCAATGCGCACAGCGGCAACATAATGAATAGTTTCAATAACACAATCAATAGTTTCAATAACACCCATAAGTCCGACGAAGATGCGCAGATCATACGTTGGCTCTCTCCGCTTGAACCAAACAGGAGACATCAAGACGTGCGCACCGAGCGATTTGACGGTGTCGGCGATTGGTTTTTGGAAGAGGGCGAATTTCGGGGGTGGAGGAATAATGATGGTGGAGCCGACAAGGCTGTCCTGTTTTGCAGTGGGAATCCAGGGGTGGGTAAGACATATCTGAGGTGAGTTGGGGGATCCTTTGAGAGAAGCGAATATCACTGACAGCCAGAAATACCAGTTCCCTGGTGATCGACAGCCTGTGCGATCAGGCAAGGAATGAAAATATAGTCGTTGCAGGCCTGTACTGCGACTACCTTTCCCACCAAGAGCAGACCATCACCAACATGATGGGAGCTATTCTGGGACAGCTGGTAGGCAGAGGGGACATCCCGGAACATCTGCGCGAGGCGTTTCATGAAGCAAAGAAGGGGTTTGGTGGGAGAGGGCCGAGACTCACGGATCTACTGAGAATGCTAAGGGCCGCTATTGCCTCGCTACCACGGGTTTTCATCTGTATCGATGCGTTGGACGAGTGCTTGCCGAAACACCTACCAGAGCTTCTTGAGTCGCTGAGAGATATCACTCAGGAGTCCCCCGGGACACGAATATTCCTCACAGGGAGGCCCCATGTCAAGGATGATATTCAGCGATATTTCACCAAGGCGGTTGTGATACCCATCAGCCCTGACGCCGGTGATATTAAGAAATATCTGGAGATGAGGTTAGACAGGGATGACGAGCCAGATGCAATGAACGATGGTCTACGGGCTGATATTATTAAAATTATCCTGGAAAAGATATCCGGCATGTAAGAGCGTTTAACATTCACCCTATCTATGATGTATACTTACCAACTGTTATGTGTAGATTCCTACTTGTTTCCCTGAACATCGACACTATTCTGGGAGAGGTGACAATTCGTCAAAGAAGGAAGAAACTCGAATTGATGACTCAGGGCAATGAACTGGGCGATGCATACACGGCAACTCTAACCCGACTGAAGGCACAGAAGGGGAATAAATCGGTACTTGGACTTAAGGTCCTGATGTGGGTGTTGTATTCCGAACGGCCATTACGAGCTGAGGAGCTCCGCCATGCCTTGGGAGTCGAGATGGGATCTGCAGATCTGGATCCGGACAATGTTCCAGCGTTACGGACACTCGTATCATCTTCTCTGGGTCTTGTCACAGTCGAGGCATCTTCATCCACCATCCGACTCGTACACTTTACTCTACAAAAGCATCTCTTAAGTGATTCAACCTTATTCCATAGTCCCCATGCAACAATTGCGGAGGTTTGCTTGACATACCTCAATTTCGGAAGTGTCCAGAATCTTCCGCCAACTCTTCGTTTTGCCCCTCCAGCAGCACCCCTTCTGGAATATGCGTCTTGTTACTGGGGGAATCACACAAGGAGGGGGATGTCGGAAAATGTGAAAAGGCTAGCATTGAGGCTTCTCCATGGATTTGATAAGCATATATCTGCTCAACTAATGCTATTGCACTATCATCGATTTACGGACTTGAACCTTTCGTTTGATTATAACGAAGGACCTCGTGGTTTTACAGGACTCCATGGTGTATCATTTCTTGGGTTGGGGGAGATGGTTTCTGCTGTGTTAGAGATGAAGGGACGGGATGTAAATGCAATTGATTGCACGGGAAGTACGGCTCTCACGCACGCAGCTAGAAGAGGGTATGAGGACATCGTAAAGGCGTTGTTGGGGTGTGAGGATATCAATCCCGAGACGGCGGACACCAGGTATGGCCGGACACCACTCTGGTGGGCGGTTGAGAACGGGCATGAGGGGGTAGTACAAATTCTTTCGGAGCGTGAGGATGTCAATCCCAATACGGCAGACATTAATTATGGCCTGACACTACTCTCGTGGGCGGCCCAGAACGGGCATGAGGGGGTAGTAAAGGTGCTTTTGGCGCGAGAGGATGTCAATCCAGATACGGCAGACACCGGATATGGCCAGACACCACTCTCGTGGGCGGCCGAGAACGGGCATGAGGGGGTAGTAAAGATACTTTTAGCGCGAGAGGGTGTCAATCCAGATACGGCAGACACCTTATATGGCCGGACACCACTCTGCTTGGCGGCTGGGAACGGGCATGAGGGGGTAGTAAAGATGCTTTTGGAGCGAGATGATGTCAATCCCAATATAGCAGACCCCTTGTATGGCCGGACACCACTCTTGCGGGCGGCTGGGAACGGGCATGAGGGGATAGTAAAGATGCTTTTGGCGCGAGAGGATGTCAATCCCGATACGGTAGACACCGCATATGGCCTGACACCACTCTCGTTGGCGGCTGAGAACGGGCTTGAGGGTGTTGTAGAGATGCTTTTGGTGCGAGAGGATGTCGATCCCAATACGGCAGACACCGAATATGGCCGCACACCACTCTCGTGGGCGGCTGGGAATGGGCATGAGGGGGTAGTAAAGATGCTTTTGGCGCGAGAGGATGTCAATCCCGATACGGCAGACATCGAATATAACCAGACACCACTCTCGCGGGCGGCTAAGAATGGGCATGGTGCGGTAGTAAAGATGCTTTTGGCGCGAGGGGATATCAATCCAGATACGACAGACGCCGAATATGGCCGGACACCACTCTCGTGGGCGGCTGGATGCGGCAATGAGGGGGTAGTAAAGATACTTTTGAAGCGAGAGGGTGTCAATTCCAATACGGCGGACACCAAATATGGCCTGACACCACTCTGCTGGGCGGCTGAGAACGGGCATGAGGGGGTAGTACAAATTCTTTCGGAGCGTGAGGATGTCAATCCCAATACGGCAGACATTAAATATGGCCTGACACCACTCTGCTGGCCGGCTAGGCGCGGGCGCGAGGGGGTTGTAAAGATACTTTTGGCACGCGAGGATGTCAATCCTAATACGGCAGACACCGCGTATGGCCAGACGCCAATCTCATGGGCGGCCGAGAACGGGTATCAGAGGGTAGTAACATTGCTTCTGGAGCGTGAAGATGTCAATCCCGATACGGCAGACATCATATATGGCCGGACGCCACTCGAGTGGGCGTCTAAGAGCGGGCATGAGGGGGTAGTAGCGCTGCTTTCAAAGCAGAAAGATGTTTGCGCACCACTCCCTATAACGGGAAATAAACGCCACTGTCGTGGGCTCTCTCTAGAGACCATCACTGAGTTATGAGGATCCTATTAAAACGGGACCATCTCAACTCTAGCACAGCAAATCGCCCCAACTTGGCACCCCTCCCGCTCTCTAGTAGGCATGTGGGTGAGTGTGGTCCAGATGCCGTTCGGCGGAGGGATAATCCTAATAACAATCTCGCAAACGCTGACGACTAAACCGTACCCCCATCGGGAGTCCCTGATGAGCGGGAAGGAGTGTTGCACCCAACTATTCTCCTTCCTAATCCACAAATAAGGATTTCTCCTCCAGCGAACCCCCCAGGCTCCCCGAACCCCCCTCTGCCCCGCTCCTACAGTTCTGGCACCTTACCATCCAATGAGAGCTGACACTCATCCCGACAACGCTGGACCAACCTCCTCAATTGCTGTCTAATTGGATTTTATCAATGACTCTTTTATTTTCCTTTTGTTTCTCTCGCCTGCATCCTTCTCTCTTCATTATTAGACATACTTTTTATCGAATTTCCATAAACCGTCCATTCCGCTGTAAATAGACTGATAATGAGCATTTTCTTTTTTCGGGTTTCAACCGGTTACTTGCCGTTTATTTTTCTTTTTTCTTTTTTCTTTCCTCGCCTGTCCTTTCCTTGGAGTTCTGCTTAGACTTGGCTCACGTCATCACGTTTCTCTCCCCTCGTTCCTATTATCATACTTATCAATATCCCACTTATATTTTGTGAATAGCGGTGTACTGCCCGTTACAGATGAATGGGCAGGAGTAGTAGACTATATTTGCAAGCATCCGGTTTTTACCTGCTCCCAGCAACTTCTATAAATACCGCCGATTGATCGCCGTCGATTCCTTTTCACCAGTGTTCGTGCGACCCCGAGTGATTACTACGTATCGCAATTTTCGAAGATAGCGAAGAGCGTACGTAAATAGGGATGGCCAAAGGCCGTCGACTAGACAAACGTCATGAATAAAAGCCCGGAAGCTGGTGCAAAGGAATTATGAGAAATCACGAAAGAAAGATAGAAAAGAAAAACATAATCTAATATGTACTATACTTCGTATATCACCCTTTTGCTTCTATGGCAGTAGTAACTGTGTTTCTCATGGAAAATCATAATTTCTTGGAAAATTCTGGGGGAAATGTTTCTCGTGGGAGGGAGGGAGGGAGGCTCTCTTCTATTTATATATATATATATATATTGGCTGTTTTGGCATCGCGTTGGTGGATAAACAGGAGAGTGCGTATCATACTCGACTATACAGAAAGTACTTGTTGTATTCATTCAAAGTATGCTTATTATACTAGGGTGTCTCAGGTTCTCACGAACACTTCTGAGTATGGACTGTACTATACCGATACACGAACCGTTGGTTACACACACGCACAACGCCGCCCTGCCATACCATAACCATGTCATACCGAAGGGTATATGTACATGTATAATCAATTAAAAATTATTTGCTCCCCGGCAATCAGCTTTCCCAAAATCAAGCTCTGAATAACCCACTCGTCATCGACAACCCTAACATTCCTTCCGGACCGGTGTAGTAGCCTTTCGGCATGCTTCCTCTCTCTCGCGTCGACATATACAAGCCTGCACCCGCCACCGCCGCCCTCTTCTTTCTCCTCCAGTTTCTCCGCCTCCTCTTTGTCAAGTCCGCCGTCTTGCTTCCGAGAGAGTGCATCAAGCGCAGCCTCCACGGTCTGCACGGTGAGAACTTTTCCCGCACCCATGGCGTACGCAAGGAATAAATACGGCTTCTATATGACATCACAAAATCGATTAGCGCTCGCATATCATGAAAGGGGAGAAGGGGAGAAGGCCGGAAGTAAACCAAAGGGGAATACAAACCCACCGCCCAAGCCCCGCACCTCCCTTCCCCATAACCACAACCACCAACCCACCAGGTAGCAACCTCCTCCTCGCCCCCACCATGCCCAAGAACCTCGCCTCGCGAGCAGACACGTACTCCATAACTCTAGACCTGACTGCACCAGCAAGGTACGCACTCTCGCCCGCGGGTAATAGATAGGTATCCCAGTCTAGCAATCGCCGTGCCCTCACGCAGTCCTCGACCCACCGCGGCGCGAGGCACGGAATTCCTAGGGCGAGGGCTTGTAAGAACTTTACGCGGCGAGAGTGCTTGTTCGCTATCACGCAGGTGAAGCCAACATATGCCGATTCTGTCCTCGGTGTTAGGCCGGCGGTGGCGGGGGTTTCTTGGTGGAAGAGGTCTTCAAAGTCGTTGTCTACGAGGCGACCACCGTTGCTAGTGATCCTATGCGAGACGGTGCGTTTCTCGGATTCGTTCTCGCCGAAGCTTAGAGCGAAGAGCATGTTGAAGAATAGGCCCCCGGTCGGTTTGGCAGAGGTTGTGGTGGTGATAGGGGTTGTTCGGCGGTTCCGGGATGGGGTGTTTGGGGTGGTGGTACTTGCTTGGTTGACCCCGTCGGTGGTGGGATCGGTGGTAGACGGTGTCGAGATTCTTAGTGGGAGGATTTGGCTACGGTGAGGTATGTCATTATATGGACGCTTGGAGAATTGCGCCCAGAGTGTTCGGTTTAGGTAGATTCTCGTCAAGGGGACCTCGAGGACTTCGTCCTCGGCCATGCTATTTGAAGCTGGTGTTATCCTGGGCTTGACTGTGACTATTGCATGACCTCTTATGTCTGTGAGACTTCGGCCGCCGACACGCTCGTGTGTATCGGGCTCTCCAACGGGCTTTTTCAGACCTACAATTATCCAGACGGCTTTCTTCATTGATGGTTGGTCCACCTTTACCATATCCCCAATTCGGAGATCTAGGCTTCGGACTTCCTTATCAAGAACGTCCTCAGTGCCATCATCAAATACTACTTTGATAAAACCTTTTGAATCAGTACTTAACACTGTTGCAGGGTGATAACACATCTTGACGTCTTTAAACAGAGCAAACACCCTTTCTGGTGAAACCAGACTCGAGTCTACTATTGGCGCCACACAACTAGCAACCGAAAACACAGGATTATTACTCTCAAGCTCGTCCTCCAATTCCGGTGCGGCCATCGGTATCGGAGAGTCCGCCGCCGCTCCCACCACGGAGCCCCTTAGAGATGTCGAAGACCTAGTCTTCCTCGCTGTTGTGCGCGGCTTACTGTTTGATACTCTCCCAGTAGACTTTCGTGGCGCTTTGCCTCTCTTCGTCGTATCGGCGGTGGCAGACTTGGCAGATTTCGTAGGCTGTGGCTTTCCCTTGGCGCTGCTAGCAGTTTTTTTCCGCCTGGACTCTGAGGCTTTAGGAGTGACTTCGTTATCTCCACCTACGGAAGCCCTAGCCCGCTTGTGAGGTGGGGGCTCCGTCGCAGATTCTCCTTGCGCTGGCGCCACGTCCTGAGCAACATCACTGCCTAGACCCGCCACTAAATCAACCATGTCGAGATCGTCTGGCTCGGGCCGGCTGCTAAGTAAAGAGCTGCTGTTCTCCAATGCTGCAAAGCTCTTCATGGCGGTATTGCCAAGACTTTTACCGCCTTCCGATGGAGAGTTTGGTATAGCATCGCTCCCCCAATCCACACTCCGTCCCTGTCTCTCAGCCGAACTCCGTTTCCGCTTCCCCCGGACTGGGGATTCCTGCATAGACTTCCTCATATTCTCCCGAGAGGTATGGAAGCCAAGGCTATTCGGTGGTGCAGACTGTGAGGCATTTGGTGGCATGGGAGATAGCATGCCGTCCCTATCCCATGGACTGGTCTCCGGGATCGTCGTAGCACCTTGCTTCATTCTTCTCAATTCGCTGGCACGTGACGGATATGGTGTTTTTAGGGCGATAGGCGGCGAGCTTCGTTGGATGCCGACGGCTGGACTTGAAAGTGTAGAAGGGAGAGGGGTTAAACTACTCGTGGGCAATGGCAACCCACTACTAGGTTCTTCGAGGTTTGATGTTTCCGGCACCAGTTCTGGTCCAGGTTTTGCAGCAGCACCCCGCTTTGCCGGTGCAGTGTCCGGTGACGGAATGTTGAAAGGTGGGAGGTTTTTCAGTGAGGTTTTGACCATGCTGGTTTCTTGTCGACTCAAGCCTGGGGCAGGTTGGGAATCTGCAATAGTCGAAGGGAGCACTGTTTGATGTCGGAAAGGAGGCATATCCGCGGAGGGTTGCTGAGAAGTGATTGAAGTGGTAGACTTTGTTCGCCTAGCTGCTCGTAATGGCTCTACGTTGTGAATGCTCTCCCAATCGGGTACAGGATCCAGTTGGGTTTGGAGTACAGTTGGCGTCGGAAGATCTAGCGACGCCCCCGGTGAAGAGGTTGCCGCGATATGGGTATTAGGTAGTGACCCGGTAGGTTTGGGTGGCACCGAGGATCTCCTAGACCCCATTGACAAGCGTGGATCCTGCTCAGGGCTCACACTCTTCCTTCTGCTATTCTGCCGTAGCAGCGGCGGCACAATCCTCCCCTCTTCCTCATCACCCGTTTCGTCATCAGGGTCTGTGGGGGAACCCTCCCCAAACTCCCGCTCTCTGACAAGTATCTCCGCCCGCCTCCTGTCCGTCTCCCCTGATATCTCCCGCCGAAGCTTGGATCGCCTCTCCAAAGAACTGCTCTTCGAAGTCTTAGCCGACGACGCCACCTTCTTGACCTCCTCCACCCCCTTCTTCCGTGCTACAGCAACCTTCCTCTTCCTCTCATCCTCATAAGAAATCATACCATCATCAGACTCATCCACCTTCCCCTTCTCTGGATCGGGCTGCGTGTATCCCTGGGTGACCGGCGACGATGAATTGAACACAAGGGAACTAGACCCCCCTCCTCCACCCCCCTTCCTCCCAGTCACCCGGCTTACTCTTGCATGCCTCTTCCTAGCGCTCTCTTCCCTCGCCTCCTGTGATTCTTGCATAGACACATAGACCTCCGCGGGGTTCGGTTGGCCTTTCGACGATCTCGATTCCCTAACCGTAGTAGTTGCTCGCTGCTGCACATGGGGAGGTTGATTCCGAGGACGTGTCGAGTAGGATGATAACCTAGACATGGAGTCGGCCATGACCTTCTCCAATTGCGCCTTCGATGGTGTTGGTGGAAGTGACGCTCCACCGGTTGGCGGCCTCACGGGAGAAGAAGTGGTCTCAAACATTTGGGATAAGCTCAACCCGGTATGCAACCTCCTTCCTGGTCCTCCACTTGCTCCAACCTGCTCGCCACAAGCTCCAAATCCGACACGTGCGAGCGGGTTGTACCCAGGTCCTGGCGTGGGCGTAGTCTTCTTGGCCGGCGACGACGAAGAATTATTACCATTCGGATGTCGAGGAGTATCGAACCTGCTATTCTCTGGGAAATAAGTAGTTCTCAAATCCGGGTCATCATCCAACTGTGTTTCCCCTTCCTCCTCCTCCCTAGAATCATCACACTTCGCCATTGGCTCGGGACTCTTCGCAACAAGAACTTCTGCCCTCTCCGCCTCCTCTTCCTCATAGGCGGCAAATACCTCTGGCCCATCAACCTGCGTCTCCCCGATGTCTATCTGAGAATACCCAAGATCCAATCGCAAACTCCCCGTGCGATCATGACTAAAGGTTGTATTCCCACTCATTCGGAAAGGCGTATCAACTAGCGAGAACCTCGTTCCGCCTCCGACCTCCGGCGTATCTACCAACAATCCCCGTGGTAGCGGCGCTGGTGCTGGAGAAGAGCTGAGTACCTGAGTAGTTGGAATGGAAGAAGAGTCGTCATGGTCTTTCTGTAACATTATTAGAGTCAATCTCCCGTGAGGAAGGTAAGCACCTCGCTTTGCTCGGTGAGATGGTGAGTGGAAGAGTGGACTAAAGGTAAACACGTACGCAAAGCAAGCCCTGCAACCGACCGATATCCAGCGTGTCGGAATCACCTGGTGTTGAAGTCATCACTGAGGGGGTGACTCATGATAGGTCCGAGGGTCCGTGGCGTGAGTTTTTGTCGTTATTTTTGTGTTTTTTGACTGGTTGGTTGGTCGACTGGACTCGGGGGGTGGTTTTATGAAAATGGCAGTGTAGAGTACCGGTGAGTTAAGGTGAACAACGATGCGGCGAACTTCTTTTTTTCCCAGTAAACCCACAGAATGCCCTTTTGGGTGGGTAGGTAGCGACAAGGGTCCAGACTACTCGTAACGCCCCACTCCACTGCTGCCGGGGAGTCCACTTCAAAAATATCCGGACAACTTGGCGCCAAGAGAAGCAGCAAGGGTGCCAAGGTGTCCCGATACTTTTCTCAATCAGCCATCACCCGCACAGGCAGAAAGCCATGGCAACCATCCCACCACTCTCTAACTTTCCCCGTGTGATCCAATTTTGAGAGAGGCGGCTCTGGAGAACTGACACGTCTAAATTCACTATGATAGCCAAATCCATACGAGTACCATAGCTACACACCATCACATCCCGCCGGAAGGGATTGCATTTAATCCTAATGCCATGCAAAACCATGGTCCCTTAAGGATTTTTGATTTGTGGGCATGGGCCATAGCTGTCATGAAAATTTCGCATGCCTTGCTTGAACCGGTTACGGTTATCCTCCCTCACTCAACATCTGCCTATATGAGAGCCCTCGGACAAAGTGGTTTGGGGGTTATCCGATGTATGAGACAATCGAGAAGCGAGTTTTGTTATTGAAAGAGAAAACCCATGTTCCGTGACTTTTAGAGATGCATTTTAGTCGTGTAGGACATAGTGGACGCTTGATCCTATTCGAGGGTGCACATTGGAGTGGTCTACGAGTACGGAGTGTTACTCGTACCTTCGGGGCTTGGTTGGGATTGCCGTGTGGCGTGCGCGCGTGAGACGCGTTAATATAAACGCTTGAAAAAAAACAACTGGGCTTTACAAACCTTAATTGTGCCAAGGTTACCCATACTTGAGTACTTTTGGATGTACCCGTTATGATAGAATGAATATGTACAAGTATAGTATACGAGTAAAAAGAAGTCTAGGGGTCACAGAAACTAGAATCCCATGTTCCCATCCAAAGAGGGAAGAATTGAGTTTTGATTCTCAGCCTCTTAACATCAACGCTGAATGTTTATCCGACCTGGTACTGTTGTGGCCACAGGTTTTCCCAACCGGAGGGTCTCACAATATCTACGAGTACGAGTACAGTACAGTACATATCCCCTTCCCTCACATTACTGTACCGCATACAACGGGTGAAACGTGATTGATCACTCACACAATCACCCGGACACATTCCCGTGGAACACAACGAGTTATCATACCGTACTATCAAACCTCTTCTACACTCCAAAGACACCCCAAACTTACCGCGTGCTATGCATTAAAAACCTGTGTTTCTGGAGTCTGGAGTGCGAGTCCACGGCTCATTAAATTGTTGATTAAATTAGTTTCATTTTTGTGCGCTGCATGGAATTACACTTGCATGACGGGGCACCTCAAAAATGAATTTCGATTGTTTGTGGTATCAACATTGCTTTTTTGCAAAGAGCACAACCCCACTTTTGTTCGAGGATGACTCGGTATCTCCATCAACGTCCCTCTGACTCGGCTCGACAATAGCTTGAAGGAGAAGAAGGGGTCGTCGCGGGTACCGCCAGTGCCCGCCCGGAAGCCATGAACAACAGCTACAGCCGAGACGTGTTCAGCAATAACAACAGCAGTTTCAATCTCATTACCAACAATTATACCACTGTCAGCGATGATAAAGCGGATTCTGTCATGGATATCACCATTGGAGTCATGGAAGAGGCACACTGATGTGGTTCGTGATCGTGCTAAAGGTGTAGGAGAGTGGGTATTGCAAAGGAGCGAGTTTCAAGAATGGCAGCAGGATGGGAATGATCAGTCAGTCAGTAGGATTCTGTTTTGCCATGGGGTGCCAGGTGCAGGGAAGACTTTTATTTGGTAGGATTGACGACCCAGTAGAGACCCAGCTGTTTACCCGGTACCAGTTCCTTGGTCATCGACACACTATGCGATAGGGCTGCCAGTCCTAACATTGCAGTTGGTTGCCTGTACTGCGATTACCGAGGCCAGAAAGAGCAAACGCCGAAAGTGATGATCGGGAGTCTCTTGAGGCAGTTTGTGTGATGGGGTTGCCCGAAGTTCCAGAAGCGATCACACAAGCATTCCGAGCGGCAAAGACTCATCTCGAGGGACGGGCACCGGAGCTTGTGAAGATTATTGAACTATTTCCTGCAGCGTTAGAGCGGTTCCAAGAAGTATTCATCTGTGTTGATGCACTGGATGAGTTTGTCGAGAAGTATAGAGCTGGATTTCTACGCTCTCTTCGCCAGATCTTGGATAAATCACCAAACACTAAATTGTTCCTTACTGCAAGGCCCCATACCCAATTAGCTCTAGAAATCAACATCCCACTTGATATGAACGTCATCAAAATACAACCTCTCTTCAGTGACATCGAAACGTACGTCACGACAAAATTGGATGCCGATCCATATCAAGGAGCGATGAGCGATGGTCTTAGGTCTGAAATTTTGACAAAAATTCTTAAGGAATCTTCGGAAATGCAAGTATGGCGCAATCAGTGTCTTGCGGTCCTGTGGCTGATTGTATGCAGATTCCTTTTAGTCACATTACAGGTTGATTCGATATTAGGAGAGGTCACAATAGGCGGAAGAAGGAAGAAGCTCCGTGAGATGACAAATGATTTGAGGGACTCCTATATAGCTACTTTGAAGAGGATAAGAGGCCAGCGTGGAGCCCTTGCGAGGTTTGGAATTTGCTCCTTGATGTGGATTTCATTGGCGGAACGACCCTTGCTCATCGGTGAGCTATGCCATGCTCTGGCCATCGAAGCTGGATCTCCGGATATCGATACAGAAATGGTTCCTCCCATAGAGGCTGTTGTAGCATCCTGTATGGGGGTAGTTACCATAGACCAGACATCATCCACAGTCCGTCTTGTGCATGCTACATTACAGGAAAATCTACGAAGCAATCGGGACAATATCTTTCAGAACCCCCATGCTGCTACCACCGAAGTTTGCTTAAGCTATCTGGACACTCAGTCTGTTCGAAACCTCCCGCCTGATCTCGAAACTGCATCAGATAAATTCCCGCTTCTTGCCTATGCCTCCTGTTACTGGGGAGCTCATGCCCGGAAAGAGCTTACGACCTCTGTGAGGCATCGTGCACTTGGGATTCTAGACCGATACCATCAACATGTAGCTGCAACCATCTTTTTGTCCAACGGAGGAGCTCCGTGGAATTCGCGGAACAGCTCTGCGAGATTTAGTAGATTGCACTATGTTGCGTACTTTGGAATTGATGATCTATTGGAGGTATTGTTGAGCACCGAACAGGCAAATTTGAACCAAGCAGACGATTGGGGCCGTACACCATTAGCTTTGGCTGCCGAAATGGGGAATGAGGGAGCGATAATGATACTACTCAGCAATGCCGATGTCAACCCCAACTCATCCGACCTGGGCGGTCGTACATCGCTCTCCCTAACCTCTGGAAATGGCCATTACGGAGCCGTAAGGATGCTGCTGAGCTGCACTGAGGTTGAGCTTAACTTGCCAGACCTGTATGGCCGTACACCACTTTTCCTAGCTTCTGAAAATGGCTGTGAAGGAGTCGTACAGATGATACTAGGCCGTGCTGGTGTCGATCCAAACTCAGCAGATCGACTTGGCCAAACACCACTCGGTATAGCTTCTGCAAATGGCCACGAAGAAGTCGTAAGGACCCTACTTAGACATGTTCATGTCAACCCCAACTCAACAGATTGGCTTGGCCAAACACCACTCTTCCAAGCGTCTGAATACGGCCGTGAAGGAGTCGTAATGATGCTACTAGACCGCCCTGACATCGACCCCGACTTGCCCGATCATGATAACCGAACACCACTTTTTCGCGCTTCTGCATACGGTCATGAAGGAGTGGTACGGATCCTACTAAGCCGTGCCGATGTTAAACCCAACGCAGTGAATCTGTTTGGACACACACCACTGAGTATCGCTGCCTTCTATCGACAGCATGGGGTGGTAGAGCTACTACGGGACCGCCCGTAAATTCTTCAAACACACCAACCACTATTCCATGCCTACATCCTCCGTCTCTTCTCCCGAAATTGACTTGTGCGATAATTACTATCACGTCACCTCACCCCCCCCCTCCGGCGGCCCACTGAACCTTCTTCCATAGTTCCTTCTTCCACAGCTCCTGTCTGATATTCACTTTCAGTGTTGTTGCAGAGGGTTGATTCTTGGATTATTATTATCCTCCTTTTTTCTCTTGAAGGTCATTCTTCGACGCGAACTAGAATACTCTTCTATCATATATTGCCCAATCTGCACAAAACGATCATGACTAAGCAGCAGATAAAACACGGAAACTAAAAGAGAAGAGATATGGTGAAGGGCAAGCAACTACTAGTAGAAACTCATAAAGTGTTACGATACATTATAGCCTAATCAAGATGCTCAATCTTCTGAACAATTAGACCATACGGAGGTCCAGCACCTAAGTTTTGTATATTTTATTAGCAACAGGTGTTTGGCCAGCAGGAGTAAAAGTATGGAACTGGGTATATGACTACCCAATTCACCCCTGACCGCGTGCTAGCCCAACACTCCTCGCTTGTAAAATATATAAAACTTAGGCGCTTGGCATCCGTAAGGAGGAATATTGAGTTCGTGAGGTCATATTTTTAAGTTCTTGAAAGCACCATAACCGTGGCCCATAATTAGGTACAATATGTTGCTGCTAAGCCCTCCGGCTACTGCCGTCGCTACCT